ATCATATGCACTCATTTACCAAAAACCGTGGAGGTGTCATTCTCATTTCCTTCCAATGCAGAGATGCTGGTAGACTACCGAGAAGTACTGTTTTTTTAACCTATGGTTTGTGGTCCCTGATGATCTCGTGTAGACAACTTCTAACAGTCATCTACTGTTAGAAAAAAAGCAGACCTATGCCCAAAGGCTAATATTCTCCATATAGAGAACCGTATCTCTGCTGAAAAATGTCTAGGGGTCCACAAGTCGATAATAGCTAAATCTCACTGATATAGAGGGCAACTTATGAGGGGTACTGCTTATTGGTAATTTTATTATGGTCCTTTAAGCACTATACTTACACAATCAGTAAGTGTTGGCTTTGCCATTTCTCCAGTTCTGAGACTATTAAAAAAACATATTTTATTCCAGGCTGCTGCACCCAAATCAGAGGATTTTTTTTCCTCAATTTGCTGTCTAATCAAGCCATGTTACTTACTTCTGGTTCAGGTTAGTATCAGCCTGCACCTGCATGTGCTGCAAGCCCTCTCAGAGCAGTAGTTCCCGTGCCTCTGGGGATTTTTATTCTTTGCTCATTTTTACATTTCATCCCTCTAGTCTCCTTTTGAGACCTAGAGCCGATAAAGCCTTCAAGAAAATTGGCTGTGTCTGAGGAGAGGCCTGGAGGCCCTGGACCATGTGCTGTGTGCTGGGGATGTCGCCAGACTGCCCTGAGGGCACAAGCCTGAGGTGGCAGGGGGGATACCTGGCACTGCCACCTCCCTTGTGTGCCAGGGCATGTCCAGGCCTCTCCTGTTCAGTCGCATCAAAGATTCCCTGTAACAGCTACACCTTATTCACTGAATGAGCATTACAGAGCTAAGAAATTTCCCCAGGAGAATCTGGGTATTTTCCACCTCTCTGCCAACAAACTGACTCAGAATGTGATGTTTCCCTTGGAATTCTGGAGGAAAAGTTGGTAATTAAAAAGGTAAAGGGTAATAAGGGATTTTTCTTGGAGGGTTCTCCAGAACAGAGAGTGAGATCTGGCCTGTACTTTCTGTACTTCCTTGATGAATTCTACTCGAGGTCACAGAAACCTGCCTTTTTCTCAACTCATGTCACATGGCCACCCTGTGCCACGTGCTCTAGGTGTCCCTGCTTGTGCAAGGGGGTTGGACTCGGTGATCTCTAGAGGTCTCTTCCAACCTCATCCATTCTGTGATTCTGTGATTCTGCGATCCCTTGGGTGAAA